AGAACACAGAGCTTATATGCGGCCAGGACTGAAAACACTTCGGGTTCCTCAATTCTAACAAAGTGCTTCCTTCCTCCTCCTCCTATTTCTAAATATACAAATTATACATTTTTAGACTATATAAATTACGGGTTACACAAATGATGTATTTATGTAATCCATTCCCTCTATAAAAATTTCCAGTTATATAGATTTAGCAAAATACCCGTCTCCACTCAATCCTACTCCCTTCCCCAGAAATAATTGCTGTTATCACTTGGCTGATATAATTTGAGAACATTTTCTATGGACTTACATATGTATAAATGTACATATAAAAACATATGGTTTTGTTTTGTTCTTCTATGTAAACAAAATGCTGTATATAATAGTCTGCTACTTGCCTTTTTCAACAGTGTCCCCTAAACATCATTTCACATCAACACATGTAATTCTTTTTAGTTGCTAGTTGTGTTTGCGTTTCATGCTATAGACATTATATAGTTTGCAGTGTCGTTTCTTTTGCATTCTGGCTGCTTTCCATGTCTGAGTGGGGCATCTAGGTCTCCATCAGTAAATCAGCAGCCTCTGTTTTTCGGGGACTGTGCTAACCACCTGAAGGTCAGCTGGAGTGGTTTCAAGTATCAGTGGCAGCAGCAACTCTGACTTGGCAGCTTCCCCGACGGGGAAGGCCCATGCTTCGATGGGTGGTCTCCCACTCAGAGGGACTGAGAAATTTTACCCAAGTTGCACAGGCTTTAGTCGGACCAAAGGCATCTTGCTCCCATCACTTCTTAGATGTGAGCTTTTGAGCAAGTTATTTAATCTGCTCAACCCTAATTTTCTCACCAGTAAAGTAGGGGACATACTGATCATATTAATACATACTTCCAAGTGTTATTATAAAAGGTATGGAAAGCACTTGGTAATCACGTTTTAAAAGTGGTTTTAACTAGCTAGCTTTCATACTGTCATGATTTCCTCTTAATGGCCTCACGAGTTCCCTCTGCTTCCTACCATCCTGGGATATGGTCGGAGGAACAGGCTATGGAAAGATTAGTCCCCAAAAAGCCTTTCATAATAAGGGCAATTATAGTGGAAGCAATACTACCTCCACTTGCCCCACACTGTCTGGCTTCCTGGAGGCTCCTATTGGACCCTCACCACTGGAGTGAGTATATTCAGTTGTTACCATTTTACAGATGAGAAAACTGAGGCTCAAGGGTAGGGGTTGTGAGTATCTCCAGGTCATCCAGCAGTTGTACGAGGAACTTACAATCTGAGCCCAGGTCTTCTGATTCCAAATATGAAGTCCCTGTAAGAACTGTGGTACCAGCTATTACTTAGAGAGATTGTTAGACCCACACACGGCAGCCTGAGACAGGATTCCCTCTCTCACATCCAGTCATGTATGATCCATGAAATATTCCTTAGGGCCCTTTAAAAATGTGCCAGACCCAAATGTGCACTGCACCAAAAGCTGATGACACAGTTAAATGGATGAATAGGACATCTCAGTTCTCTATGGCCAGGTGTGAGCAAACCATGGCCTGGGGATCAAATCTCGTCTGTGAGCCTTCATAATGGTGTTTTACTTTTTTAAATGGCTGGGGGAAAAAAGTCAAAAGAGTTAATATTTTGTGACATGTTTAAATTATGTGAAATTCAGATTTGTGTCCATAAATAAAAATTTTATTATACCACAGCCATGCCCATTTGTTTGTATTGTCTATGGCTTCCGCACCGTAACCACAGAGTTGAGTAGTTGCCACAGAGAATGTCTGGGACCCACTGAGCCTAAGTATTTACTATCTGGCCCTACATAGAAAGATACAGAAAGTTTGCTCTCCCTTGCTGTAGAGCAGTCACTATTTAGCCATTCATGTTATATACACTCACCAAAGGTTCATCATCGCAGACCTTTTTGAAATTTTTTTTTAGTCTTGGCATCTTTAGAATGGCTTTACTATTGTATGTCTATTTAACAGTTTGGGTTAGGAGAGGCAGATGGATAAACCAGGAAAAGCGACACAGCAGCAGCCTCTTGTGGCCAGTGGGAGCATATTTAGATAACTTGGTTACGGTTACAGCGAACCACTGGGGGTTGGATTGAATCTTCACTGAGGGTTGGGAGCCCAGATTACTTTGAAATATCCAGGATATTCTGTAATTTATTTCCTGCCTCTTACTGATCACAGTTCTAACCTGGATATGAAACATACTCATCTAATTACAAAGGAAGTTAGCTGAGTTTAAAAACAATGTAATAAAGAGATGACGAAATGCAGTACCTAATTGGATCACTCTTTCTGATGTGAAAGGAAGAATTTTAAAAGCCTTGGAAAAGAGAGAACTTTGAAGACATTCAGAATAATTATCATTCAGAATATTTTAGTGTTAGGAAAACTTGCTGGCATCCTTGCATTTCTATCATTAACAACAGAGGCAGCCCCGTGGCCACGAGATACTTCGAAGATTCTTGTCCTACCTGGTCTAAACCATGTCCTGACCATGGGTGAGCGATTTTTCCCTCTCTGGGCTTCAATCAATCCCCTGTAAATGAAGGCACTGGACAAATCTCAAAAGACCTTTACACCTTACACAGACCATAATCCCATGTCTATTTGGAAAGACTTTATAAAATTTTTCTACAATCTTCAGTTTAAATAATTTGCTGAGGTCACTTAGCTGGCAAGTAGCAAAGCCATGTCTTCAATTCAGTTGCTCTAAAGCTTTTGCTCACTACCCTGACACTACGCTACTACACATATCATGGCTGTATCAGGGTAACTCCTCTCCGTGAGAAGGGAGAAAGGCCATCTCCTGACAATCAGATATCTGGGAATTCTGCTGTCCCCAGTATTCTGTTGTAAAGAGTTCTGTGAGTTGAACATCCTATAGCCACAGAACTTAAGAGAGAGATCAGAAATTGGATTGCACTGGAATTGTATTTAGATACAACTCTATACATCACTTTTCTGTGTAGTATTTGCTACTCATCTTCAAAAAGAGGGATTCAGGTCCAAGGCAAAAATAAAGTTTTTAGTAACTTTTTATTTTTATATTCAAGATAAAGCATATACACAATTAAATGTGGAAATAAATAACTAGAAATGCTTTGGAAACTTTTCCATTCCCCACTCAAACTCACTTTTTTAAGCTCATGAGTCTTTTTACTTGATTTTAAGAAACATAGTAACTATAATACCAAGAAGAAAAAGAAACTACAGCTTTGTACAGAAACATATAGCCTCACCTGACTATAGGGTTTAGTTGGTGTTTTAATAACAAAAAAAGCACACAAGACACAAACACTCTTCAACAGATTTACTCAAACAGCTTCGAGAAGAAAAAGGCACAGATTTAAGGGGATGACAGTGATTATTAAGAATATAGTAAATGGGGCTCAGTCAAAAAATGATACTTTATTAACTAAGTCAGGAAAAATGAACAAAATGAACTCTTTCAAATTATCTGCCTTCATTAAAATGAATTTTTAAATTAAATTGTATAAACATATGATATAAAGTTGGAACTTTAGGAAGTGTCTTTGTATATTTCCTCTATGTACAAATCTTTGTATACAACTTCAATGTTCCTTATACATTTCCTATATATCGAACCGAGCCAGGGCCTCCCAACTGCATGCCTCAAGTCCCTGTGGAGCGTTCTGGCAGCTGGATGGCACTAGCTGCGTTCTGACAGAATAGCTGGAAAGGAGGGTGGCCAATCAGATGTAGTCATCTTCAACTGGTTCTCCATTGACATCACAATAGTGGATAAAAATCGCCACAACTCGCGGAAACACACCCTTCTTCATCTGTCGCATCTCTGAAATTTCCTCTCCTATTGTTTCCATACAGATGTCTGCAGAGAGCTGCCCTTTCCTTCGAGGAGCATAGATGGTGCCTTGGAAATTAGAAAGAAGAGGGGAGACATGTATGATAATCAGAATCATTTGGAAAATCACTCTGACAAGCTGGTCCATAAACTATTCCTATGTACTGTAATATAATGTAACTGATGTATGAAAGTTCATGGAATGGGTCACCATCAGTTAAGTTTTGTGCCATGTTTGATGCCTAAGACAGCATACATGATTAAAGGTCCAAGGTAAAAATAATGTACCAGAGAGATAAGTCACATATCATACATGTAGTTCATATGTCCATTCCCACATAAAATATTTTTTAAAAAAACTATGGCTAAAAATAAATATTCGAGTGTGCTAACATTTAGAGAAACAAATTCAAAATTTCCTCCCCAAATTTCTACACCTAAATCATAAGTTCATTCCCACAAGCTATATAATAAGCAGCTCATCAGGAGAATGATTAGCGTAATTAGAATAATTTTGAAACAGTATAGTTGATAAAATCTTAACAGTTAACAAGATCACAAATATTTAGGTAATAGAAAAATCTAGTAGGAAAGTGTCTAGCAGGAATCCTATCCGCCGGCCTTCGCATATCCCCAGTAAGTCGACTGATCATCTATTGTACAAATTCAGAGGTGTTTTGGGGTGGGGTGGGGGCAGGAAATAAAAACATTTATATGGGAAACCATTTAAAAGCTGCACTGCTCCTAACTCTCAAACGTAGTATTAAGTATCTAACACAGTAAGATATACTTAAACTAGAGAATACAAGTCAAGTCAGGTCATAATTACTTTCTTCATCGTCTTCAAAATCGTATCGGGCAAAGCTGTTGGGCTCTGCTGCCCGTAATGACCTCAGCCAAGGAAAGTCAGAAATCAGGGAATACGGAGCTCCATCCACAACACCTAAAGGAAGAAGACAGACGTGGTAGTGTTACTGTGTGGGAGTGCTGACCGTTCCAAACACTGCAGGATTTTGTAAGCGAATGTAAAACATAAAGAGAGTGAGTAGTCAGGCGCCTTCAAGTCACTTCCAAACTCGCGAACCACAGTAATTTTCAATTTTTGTGTCCACTTTTTGTGTTTCAACACTGCTTCTTATTATTCTAGGGATGGTAAAGACTCACACAGGCAGAACAGTATTTATCTGGTCCCTGCTTCTTGCAGGTATTCAAATCACCCATTATTTCAGCAAATTGTAAGATTCCCATTCGTATCTTCCCTAAGGCATGTCCCTCGATCTAGTTAATAACTATTTAACTTTCCAACCATTTGAAAATACTCACCTTCTAAAGTATAGATTTCTCTTCCCCAGGGGTACTTGGGGTACTTCTTTAAGTCTTCTTCACTTCGAGTGGCCTCAGGGAAGAATTCGTACTTAATGAGCTCTCTGGGGGCAACAAATTAAAATAAAAATTATAAAACTAGGAAATAATATTAAGGTATAGGGGTAGAAAGGAACTGTCAAAATTCTTTCAGACCTAGATTCTACTGAACATCTTAAGCAAAATATTAAATACTTAACAGAAATAGAATACATTACATTCGAATTATAAAATGCAAGTCTAGTCAGGTCAAAATTACTTTCTTCACTATCTTCACTGTCTTCAAAAGAAAGAATGCTATTCTCCATGCAAATGTCTTATGGATAGAAGGTCCTCAATGCAACATTCATATAACAATACATAAAAAGTCCAGTTTTCTGATGACAACATGATAGTCTTAAGATCTCTTTAACTTGATCTCTTTTCCATGCCTCAAGGCTAAAGAAATAAAGTTAAACGTATACGTACAGTCTGTTCTTATAATTTTTCTCTAAGTTTTAAAGTAAAAGGTTACAAATATACACGTATGCTTTTTAGTTTTAAGTCCTTACTTCCCTCAGTTTTTTATATATGTTGACTTCATGATAAGCCTGCCTGAAAAGCTCAGATGGAATCATTTAAAAATAAAAAAAAAATCAGGATTTGCTTTCGGGAGCCCCTGCTACGACGATTGACTAAAAGGCCTTTCGGGGCCACAGAATTACTTACTGATTGATGTTTGCTATGGTGTCCATCCAGCTGCGAATGCGCACCTTATTGCGGACATTAGGAGGGTTACTGAATTCATGGATAATGCAGATGTGATAGGGGTAGGGACCACTAAACAGCTTCTGCTCCAAAGTTAGTGTGTCCACCTGTGGAAGACATCATCAAGAGGTATTTGGACCAAGAAACAGAAAGCCTTAGAAATCTTTCTCCTGGAGATTGAACAATCTTTCCTTGGGCCTTTAGTTTTGAAATCCCTGGATGATTTGAAAATCAAGTCTTCACAATCAGCCCTGAATACAGCATGCCACACTGAGGTTAGGATTTAGCAAATTCTTCTGTCTAGTGAACTCAATGATTTATCTCACTGTTATGTAAGTGCCCATTAAACCAGAGAATCCTGACTAAGGTAAATGATCTCAGTCAACTCAGAATCCACTTCTGATATGTTCTTTATAGGTGTAAGTATCAAATGGATTATAGAACTGTGAATGCATAGCATCATATATCCCATACAAACTGGACTACTACCTAGTTTTAAATACAGAACACACGTTCT